TGGTGATTTGAAGGCTCTTGTAAAAAAAAAAAAAAAGAAAGTATTTTGACTCCTTAAAAATCCAACGAAATGGTAAATAGCGGAATATTAGACTTGAATACATTGATAGTAATGAATATCTAACATAAAGTAATGTTAACCAAGTTTTATAGATTCCAGGTTTACGGCCAATACGAACTGCGTAATAACTTGGTTTTGTTTTAGGCATTTTTTGGTTTAAAACAATATTTCTTTTCCGCAATACTCGAGAAGTAGGGCTTGTCTGAAGTCGAGTTGGCTTATATTTCAATTTTATACTATTATTAGGAATAAATATTTTTATGAAATTTTGTAAACGATTGGCCATAATTTAATAATTTGATATAAATTCCTAAATCAGACTATTGATAAAATGAGAAAAAACGTACTTTACAATATCCTTCGAATCCTGAGAAAAATTATTACGTATATGTGCGGTTTTCTGCGTTACACCGGTCACTTGATCAACTGTGTGACAATTCCTCAATACGTAACGGTAATTTGATCCAAAACTCTACACTTTAGACTTTAAAATAAATGGCAGGTGCATTAGGTCCCCATGGTTTCCCTCAACCAGGAAGAGGTTACGTCTTTGTGAGTAAATTATTAGGAGCGTCAATGTTATTCTGTACGTAAATTTGAACAATTATATTCCTGAATAATAATATCGTAAAGTTAATAAGTGTCTAAATTTAATAGGGATGTTATATCGTGGAAAAAAGGACGGACCTGTACTTTTGGTAAGTTTATTTTTTGAATTTATTTTCCTTCAATACATTTGATAATTTATTGTCAAATATTTATATAGGGTTTAAGACATCCCTGGGAACATCATGGACATCATGAAAACGAACACCATTAAATAACAAGCGAAGTATTATCTAGCCAGGTAAATACAAATCATTGAGTGTCCTGAGATAAATATTTGATATTTTAATTATATTTTATTTATTTTAGGATTTTTTTTTTTTTAAAAAAAAAAAAAAAAGGAAAAATTAGAGATCTTGTTAAATCCATTCACATATTATTCGTGAGGACTTATGGCCATAACTAATAAATCCATTAATTCAAAAAGTAAATAATACAATCAAAATCGCATGTATATGTCAGCGTGTGTTTAATACCAATTTAACATCAGTTAATTCAACACTGAATTCAAAAAAATATTTGTTAAGGAAGGAAACATCCTATCAGTATAGGGATATGGTGTTAAGGAAATAGCCATTAGGAGACGATTTTCGGAACCGAGCTACAGTTATACATAATCATGACTCTTTATTCTTAAGTAAATTATGCTACAATTACTAAACTCTAGAACCTTTATATTCGTCATTAACTGCAATTTACGAATTGATGAAATTTTATGTTAACAACACTTATCTCCCAATTTTGATTGAATTATACAATTGAAAAGATTTTTTTTACCAAAGATTTATTTATATATAACTTTGTTCTTTATAATAAGCTTTACAAAGTTGCTAGTTAGATTTTTAAATGAATTTTAAATTTATTTAAAGTTTATTTTAAATATTTATTATTTTTTAAAAATGCTATAATTTTTTATGTAAAAGATTTTTCAAAAACTAACTAGTAATTTTATAGAGCTTATATAGCTTTATAAATTACTATATAGTTAGTTTTTTAAAAAATCTTTTGTATAAAAAGTTTTAGCAATTTAAAAAAATTAAAATAAATTATATAACTATTTAGTATAAATAACATATTTTTAATTCAAAATTAAAAATATTATATTTATTATATTTTAACCAATACTTTTGAAATAATTAAGTACTGTATAGTAAAAAAAAATTTATATATTATTTTTATATAATTTGTATAATATATTAAAATTAAATACAAACTACACAAATATACTATTAATAAAAATTTTAAAGTTAGGCCATACAAACTTATACTATTGGTTTTCATATCACCAAGTAACTTCTTGTGACCCGGCGACCCGGCTTTTAAT